GCTCAGCAGCTATCAGTCGCATGCATGAACTTGAACTGTCGCATCTCGAGCTGAAAAGACAGGTCGATCAGCTTAATCTCTAGACTGCGACATATGTAAGTAAGGCTCGCATTAGTGTATTGGATCAATTCGAGGGGGTTGATACTGAAGCAAAGCAGACAGGACTTGATGTTGAAAAGGAATCACTTCCGCTACTGATGAGTCCCATAAGACAAGTCCCGTCATGAAACTGACGGAACCCCAATCAAATCCAGTTCCCTCACTCCATGCAAGCACAACACCATCAACCCCCTCTGATTCCATCGACAGAGTTGAGCCTTCTCATTCAAATAACCCACCAAATGACCTGATGAGTGCTATAACTATCGTCAAGGGGGCTGATGTTCTTCACACACAAAGACGAGCAACTACCAAAGAAGAAGGACGTATCTATGGGCAGTGTCTTTGACTACCAGCTGTGGCTGAATTCCTTCAAAGTTTTAGTTGAACAACGCTACCCCCTGGCCACTGACCGATTTTACTACCTGGTACGATACACTGCTGGAGAGGTCCATCAGTGCATTAAGGGCTTGCTTCGACTCAACACCGAAGGTCCCTATATTAAGGCTAAGAAATGTTTGGCTGATCGATATGGAGACAAGCTAAGGGCAGCTTACACATATCTAGAAAAAAATTGAAAAATGACCAAAAACCAAGCAGGGAGACGGAAAGGCACTCCGCCACTTAGCTGAAGTTTTGTTCCAGTGTGAGACAGCAATGGCCACTCTGAGCCAGTTGAGGATACTTGATGACCTTTCAGAGCACAAGAAGATTCTTTTAAAACTCCCAAGACAGATTCAGGAGCGGTGGCTTCGTGTTATTGACTGTCAGATCCATAGTCCTGACAGCACTTCTCCAGATGCCAGGAATGATGCATAACATGATGACTATACCTCGTTTGCCGCGCTATACAAGTTTGTAGCCCAGGAGGCCCGTATCGCCTGCAGTCCCTACCAACAAACATGAGTGGGGAGCGAGGGGAAGATTCGAAGCTCAGCAAACTCGCAAAGCCAGCAACAGCAAGAGCATTCACTGCCAAAACAAATTAAGTGCCGACAAAGAAAGAGAATGCACCAAAAAGGGCAATGTTCCCTCTACACTATACCTAAGGTCTACCCCTCGAACTGCCCCCTGTGCAAGGGTGAGCACAAGTTTGAGTCTGTAGTGGTTTTGCTGCGATGAAGCTCAACGAACGGCACGAATTCATGAAAAAGAATGGCCTTTGCTTCGGGTGTCTTAAACGGGGACACAGACGACAAGAATGCCGACACAAGAAACAATGCGACAACTGTGGCAGATATCATCCTTCATTTCTTTTTTGACTACAGCAATTCCACGCCAGAAGAGAAGAATACACCAAAGAGTGAAACCAACAAAGAAGTAGTAGTTGTTGAGTCCACTACGAACAGAGTACAGGCATTCGATGCTGGAAAATACTGTTCCCACACGCTCATTGTTCCAGTAGTACTACACCACCAGAAGGACCCAACTACAAATCTAAAGGTGATAGTGTATGCGCTTTTGGAGCATTCAGATGCATGCTTCATCTTTGATTCCACACTTGAGCGGCTTGATGTGGATGGTGAAGAAGTTTTTCTCAGCTTGTCTACTATTCTTGCTAAGGGAATGATTTCATCCAGAAAGGCGCAGGGGCTTCTCATAAGATGTAGAGATGTATTTACCTGGCACCTACTCAAGAGACTCCATCAATGCAAATCGTCAACAAAATCCAAGATCCGAGACTGTGAAGGAGTGGCCACACTTGAGGCATATCGCAAATCTACTTCCTCCCTACTTAAATGAAACTGAGATTGGACTGTTGATAAGTTGCAATGCGACCCGTGCTATCAAGCCGAGAGATGTCATTCATGGTAACGAGGACGACTCCTATGCAGTACGAACATTTCTAGGATGGGGAGTTGTAGGAAAGATGCACCTTGGCAGCGTCCACAAGGATGCCAGTGGATTGTCGACTATATCACAGAAGTCACAACACCACTTTGCCTGTCGCACTCAAGTGAAGATAGTTAGCCCTCTTCAAGTCACCCTGGTGTTTGAAGTTGAATTCAGTGAGAGAGAAAGCGATGAGAAAGTTTCCCTAGCTTATCGGAGATTCATGCAGAAGATGAAAGATGGAATCCACAGACGAGAGGATGGCCACTTTAAGATGTCACTTCCCTTCAAAACAGACAAAGTCCAGCTCCCCAACAACAAAGCTATGGCACTTAGACGTCTGAACAAGCTGAAGACAAAGATGTTGGGTGATCCTAAGTATCGGAATAACCAAGTGGCATTCTTGGATATCTTCGTGAGAAATGGCTATGCTGGAAGAGTTCCTAGCGCGGTGTGGTACATTCCTAATCATGGGGTATATCATCCCGAGAAGCCACACAAGATCAGGATAGTATTCGACTGCAGTGCTGGGTATGAGGGTGAAGTGTTATACTGCTGCAGGGACCCGACATGACCAACAATCTTGTTGGCGTCCTGTGCCGATTTAAAAAGGAGCGTGTTGCCTTTACCTTTGACATTGACGGTAGGCTCCATCAAGTTGGCGTCAATGTGGAAAACCCAAACTACATTAGATTCTTGTAGTGGCCAGGAGGAGACAGGAACCAGGACCCAAATAAATACCTGATGACGGTGCATTCGTTTAGTGCGACTTCTTCTCCAGCATGTGCAAATCTTGCAAGGAAGTGTGCTGCCGATATGCATGAAGATAGTTGTGGGACGGCAGTTGCCAATTTCATTCGAAAGGACTTTTACGTCAATTATGGACTTAAGTCAGTCCAACAACCGAAGACCACTCACTCGTCGTGGAATTATGTCGAGCGTAGGTTCCATATTGACCCCCTTGGTCTTGTAACACCAGTATTACTGGCGGAAAACGTATTTTCCAAACCTTGTGTCGTGATGGGTATGCATGGAACGACCCGATCTCTGAGGAAATCACAACAGAGGGGGGGGGGAAGTGGAGGAATTTTATCCAGTATTTGGCGTCGATGAATATCCCGCAATGCTACAACCCGCCATCTTTGTTGCCCTCAAGTCTTGAGAACTACATCACTTTTCTGATGCCAGTAGCGAAGGCTGTGGTCAGTGTAACTACCTGCGGCTGATAGATAAAAAGGAAGAGCTGGCACAAGCCTGGTCATGGCAAAGTCTCGAGTTACCCCGTCAAAGCCAGTTACCATCCCTAGATTGGAGCTCACAGCGGCTTTTATTTTGGTAAAAGTGAGCACCCTCTTCATGAAGGAATCTGAGTACAGCAGCGTGACTCAATTCTTCTATACTGACAGCAGCGTGGTGCTGGGCTATATTGCAAACGATCCAAGATCACACCACTCCTGGAGATTGGCGACATGTTGACACTAAAATCAACCCAGCTGATGCCACCTCTCGAGGCCTTTACACTGAGTGTCTTATAAACAGCAAGCTCTGGTGGAAGGGCCCGGATTTCCTGCAAGAAGGTGAAACCCCTCCTCCTGATACTGAGTGCATGGAGCTTAGTCAAAATGATCATGAGGTGAAGAGGGCATCTGCATTCAATTTGGAAGTTGAAGCTGAGCACTACCCAAGCTTGCTTGAAAGATTGAAGTATTTTTCCAACTTGTTTCGTCTGAAACGTGCCGTGGCATGGTGTCGGCGTTATCTACAGAAGATCAAGCATCATTGTTTGAAAACATCTGCTACTGGATTTGATGCCAACACCCCGCCCGCCGTAAAAGAATTTCAGCAGGCAGAGCAACTGATACTGAGTCTGGTACCAGAAAAGGCTTCCCGAAGGAAAATTCAGGCCCTCGGTAAGTTTGATGGTGACCAGAATGGTCCAGGGACCCCTCTGAGAAAGAGCAGTCCTCTGTACATGCTTGACCCCATCATAGATGAAAATCAGCTGCCCAGAGTTGTTGGACGCATGAAGCAAGCCTCACTACCTGTGAAGAGATCAAGCATCCTATCTTGCTCCCACGTCATGGCCATGTAACGGACCTACTGATTGAACATTACCATGTCCGGTGTAGCCACTCAGGTCGTGGGATGACTCTGAATAGCATCTGTCAGGCTGGATTTTGGATATTGGGAGCAAGAGCTGCTGTTACGAGCCACATTCGGAAGCGTGTTGACCTGCCGCAAACTCAGAGCTCCAATTAGATGAAAGATTAGAAACATTTTCTTCTGTCTGTCTAACGAATATTTTTGCCTCCCTTTGTAGCAGTTTTACGTGATCTGTGACATGAATGTTAGTGATCTGCCAGTGATCCAGGGGTAATTTATGACGTGAGCTGTAGGCGATTTGTGCCCTATGATCCATGAACCTTTGAACCTTGTGATTCTGTGAATCTAAGAGCCAGAATAAATCCAATGAGGAACAACAATGGACCAAAGTGTAAAAACAGAGTGAACATTCTGCAGGAGACACACTTTGCGAATTTAATAAGATCTGCAAACTCCACAACCAGATTTGAACGACAATACGTCCACGTTCTTTCTCATTTCGAAACCATTTCTTTAGATTATCAAAATAAACGAAATAAAGGGCCGTGTGTATTGAGACCTGATAAAAACATCGGTAGCAGTTTCAAGTTATTGCGAATTGAACATTTTGCACGAGAATCATTTATCTGCAAACACACAGAGTAGTGGTTATACGTGCATTGATGGAGTAAATGTACATGTGCATGTACAAACATGTACAAACTAACTGCATGTGTGCCACATAAATCATGGCCGACATCAGTTGACAGAGAGCCAATATTGAAATTGCTCAATCTAGCGAAGGACAATTTGCAATAGCTTAAACATAACATGGTATCCTTCCAATTACCAAGAAATGCAGTATGTGTGGAAAAATAGGAGAACAATTCAAAATTTCGATTTTGAAATACACTTTTTATGTTCAGAAATGTAATGTATATATAGAGAGATCTTTCACCCCATTTTCTCCGAAATGTCACTCACGATTAACAAGAAACAAAATGAAATCTGAAGCCTGGTTATATTTCTGTGCTGTAAAATTAGCAAACCTTTACACACTGTGGAAGAACTCGGCAGATGGTATACGTGTAGTCGTTTGTTAGCTGGCCTTACCATTTTAACAAACAACAGAAAGTGACCTCAACTTTGCAGAATTGTAGCGCATGTACGAAAACAAAATGGGGAATATAGGCCTACCTGGGCCTGTCATGCCTGTGAATTTGCCCGCACGGGGTCATGCAACAAATCCATCCAACGTGTGCTCGATTTATAACCCCCTCTAACCATGTATTGAGTGATTGATTGAGCTATTGATTAACTAATTGACTGATGAGTTTATTGCTTGGTTGTATTAAGTAATAAAGTACACTGCAAAACAGCATAATCTGACTGCTCCCTCGAAAAACACTCAGTCCGAGAACAGCATTCTCTAACAAGCTAAGTTGAATAATACAATTAAAAATTGAACAAAATTCCAAGAATTCATAAAGAAATTACCTCAATAATTTGCATATAAACTACTCATAGGGACAGCCTTTTAATTTTAAAATCACATTCATAAAACCATATGCATGCACATATAATTGAAAGTTTATACACAAAAAGTAGTTTCATCGGCAACGAGTTCCCTCCTCTTTTCGGTGTCTGAAAGATATAATTGTTGTGCTGTAGCCTCAGTGTCAGATGATTCATGATCTAAATTTCATCTTGACATCATGGCCAGAATTACATTCCATTGAAAAGCACGTAGCACGCAAGCTCGTTTCAGGCGTTTCTTCAACTTTAATTCAAAGTCATAAACTCTTCTCCACTCCATATTATTTATATACACCTTTGAGACAAAGAATTATAAATACAACAATAACTGTTTTCATTTGTTAAGTTTAATTCTTCAAAAGTGTATATCATAAGTCGTAAAACTACTAGACGGCGAAAGTTTCAAGGAAATCTGACTGAAACAACCTAGCGACAAAATATTAACCGTACACAAGTAAGAAATACACATTTACCACTCACCCAATAAGCTTACATTCAATAAATTGATGTTTAACATACGCCCTTATTTTGTTTCCCCCCAACTGCTTGGTGTACAAGCACTTCTATGCTTTTGACTATTTCCCCTGAGTGATGAAGTCCTATAAATTTCATATTCCTCGTACAAGCACATAAGGTAATTGTGTTGAAATACGAACGATATCACATCACATCTGACAGATAAAAGGATGTTCCTGCTGATCTAAGCACGAACTACTCGTTGACGACCCATCGGTAGGCCTTGGTGTCGTTTTGCTGCAAAACGTGTAGGACTTGTCGTCGATCGTAAAAGGATGCTCGGCGTCCTCAACTGGCCGCAAGGAGAGGCCTAATGTATTATAGAAGGAAATATATATTGCCAGATCGCCTACACTAGTATTTGAAGAATATCTACCTAGGCAACAAAGTTTAAAATGCTTCCCCATGGAGCAGGATTCTAATATGCGGGGTCACCGATCCTATTTCCAGTTAGTCTGATGTTCCATGGGAAAGAACAATGCACAAAAGAGTGGAACACTTTTCATTTGCTCCTAAGCCGAGAGAGTAGCGGGCGTTACGCTGTCTTGTATTTAGGGAAGACGAGGAAAGGTTGGTGGCGGCAGACCGTACAAATTGTGCTCGCTGAAAGTTACACTGCAAACGAATTTCGCATTTTTTTATTTTCTGCGAAATGCAGGTTTGTAGAAAGTTTAGAAACAAAATTCAAAGCTTCCTGTGAGTCAATAACGCACAGTTTAATATATGTATTACCTGCCCTGGTAACGAAATGAAGGTGATGGAACGTTGACCTCAAAACATGCGGCCAGTTCCATTTTCCAAAACGAAATCATTCAAATAATCTGCTGGAAACTAAAGAGAGGAAAGACACTTACCAATAGTTGCATAACCCGTTTTGGCGATATTCACCAGTTTGCCTGAAATTACAAATGAAAATATTTTCATGCTACTTGTTTTATCACTCTTATTTTATTGGTTATTTCTAAGTCAACTGGGAACGACCGTCCAGTTCTGAATTATTTGAGCATTCTAATGTGACCACCACTTGAAGTCATGGCTCTGAAGAAAGGCACTGAATGAAACACAGGTTCCGCGTCGACTGGACACGGGGTAAATGTGCTTATGCACTCTTTATGAAAACCTATGTTTTCATGACATACTGACATGCCAAATGTGACTGCCTCAAAAAGTCACTTGATTTCAAGAGGAACTTAGGTCTCCTCTGAACAAATGCACACGATTTCTCTGCATCTGTGTCCCGTGATTATTATTCAAACGCCTTTCTTCGGTTTCACAAACTTATGTGAAGAACAACTGTACACTAGTACTGTCAAACGGGCTAAGCTACTGACTAATGACGACTCCGTCATTTAGACAACTTGGCAAGTTGGATGTAGGCCTCAGATGATATGTGTTACACAATAAACACTATAAGTCCCAGACGTGAGATAACAGTCTGAAAATTAATCAAAATAAATAAAAAAAAATACTAATCACATCATAACCCACGTCTGAGCAAGAGAAAAGATGGCCTAAACCTAGGTACATGTACATCTACACGAACGTGGTACATTTTGTTTGTGTGTATACTATAACATTAAGCACACTATAGGCCTCGTTTAACTGACATTCTCACGAACTTTTCCAGATTTTTCATCATTTCTTTGTAGGGCAAAAATAAATCTAAACTCACCTTAAAGGGCTCTCTTAAAAATTCTCTAATACCACAATACTTAGAATTTACTGTATAATCTCTCGTCTGATACACTCTAATAGTTTGATCTTGCATCACATATCTGCAAACCATTACATCATATTTAGGGGGTTCGACATAATTAGCATACGCTCATCCCCAGGACATTTGGATGGCTGTGCCTTTCAATACACATTGGGACCAAGGATGCATTGAGAACAAGTTTTCTCAGCCATGCAGTCAGCAGAGCCTGATTTGTAAATTTCACCACGAAAAGACTTTATCAATAAGCAAGATGTATTCTCAGAGTTTGATTATAATGTGATTCCTAGATTATTCCTGTGATTCATAGACCTTAAGAAACCACAATTTAATTTTGACATAAATTTAAACAGAGATTTTGCTGCCCAACTGCTACAGCAACACCAAGGCTTGAGTGGAAATTACAGCTCTTGTCAGATTTATTACTGAATTGATTGTTAGAACTAAATTGTTTAATTAATCGAACTAATGGCTTATTGATTGGTCGAATGACAAATGACTAATTGATTGGTTGATTGATTTTTTTCGTTTCGTTTTTGTGCAATCATCAATATTCAGTTTAAATGGTAGTGCTACCTACCTATCGATCTATATTTATACAGGTGGCGTATTTCTTGTTGGCTAAGGAGACCATCAAACACAACCAAACTGCTGTACGCTGCTGAGCTGCCATATTGATCTACGGAATAGGTCTTTTTGCACGTGTTTGTCATACCAAGGTACAGACGTGTGCAGCCATCCGACCACCCACCCTTACTGGTCGCATTTGACATGTCATCTACTTGCATCAGTTCTCCGTTGACGAAAACCTTCAAGTCCATGCCTGGCGATCCAACTGAGTCAACTATAAATGTCAGATGGAACCATTTGTCCAAAGGTAATTTGCTGATGCTATATTTCCGACGAATGTGATGGTATTTGGACCTTGCTGCAAACAGAAATTCAGTAGATTGGGCGTTGTACATGAAAGCGATTCCTCTTGCCGAACTTGTTTGTCCGCCGGAGCTCAAGAAATAGTGCACTTTATTTTTGGCATCAGATGGCGAGTCAATATTCAGCCAAATGGACCATGTCACACTGTGCGACTTACAGCTATCAAGGTTAGAGATACAACTTCCATCAAAGTCTCCAAGATCTAGAAATGATTCAACAGGTAAATGTACTGCGCATGCTTGATCTAGTCGCTCTGGACCGGGAACCACTGAGGCAGCGCTTCCATTTCCTCTCACTTGATACGCCTCATTGTTTATGAGGTTATCCTCACAGGGTATGACCTCACTCTCCTTGTTGAGGGATTGGTGCAGGATTGGTTGTGGGTTCGATTCTGAAAAAGTAAAAGATATAAAAAGTAAGACTTCAGGTCAGCGTTTGTTTCATTTACAAATAAGAGGCGATCAGGTGGGTCAATTTTGGCTTAGGAAAATGCGAACCCTAGATATGTTATAGTGGAATGTCATGACTATATGGGTGCTGACGTGGCTACCTTATTTAAAATGGGGATAGGGCTGTGCCATCATCAAAGCTGCCGACGGGGCGTCGGTAGATCTCATGAGCACGGTAGTCTAATTTCCCGACTTGGCACTTACCTGACCACCATTCTTGCTGACAACACCACGGTTTTGCCAAGAAATCTGGCTAATGGTGGTATCACCCCTACCCCCTTTAGTGACGCCCGTGGGATGGGGTGGTTGTTTTGCGAGCTTTAGTTAGTTTCAAGGGATTGGGCTCTGGATTTTGAGTGGTGTATCAAAGAGGCTTTCACAAGAACTGCGAGCTTTGTCAAGGGAATGAATATGTGCTTGCCTTACGACAACTAATGCCCGGGCCTGCGTCGCGTCTAGTTTCTTAACTAACGCTTAAGACCGGGCGCAGGAAAATGGACGCGAAAATGGATGGACGCAGCCAAGCACATTATGTATTCCCATTCATAAATACCTTTTTATTCAGAAAATCAAAAGGAGTCAACATGTGATTGATTTCCAACGATTTTGTTCTAACATTTTACTTTTTTCTCCAACATTACCGTCCATTTTATGGTATATTTCTTTTGAAAGTTCTACAATAGCATCACACACAGACTTCTGACCATTCAGACTCAATTCTCGTATCTATGTGCCAGCGCGTGATCTACCTAGCGGCATTATCACTTTTTGGCGGGCAATATCAAAATTTATGATAATACACGGTCACACGGACGCGTTTCGACCAATAGGAAATACATGTATTATCTCAGATATCATGAATTTCCATTATTAGGCAATGCGTGTAGGTTGCTACGTGTAGTGGAGACCTAAGGCTTTGAAATGTCTTCAGAGTTGGTTTCGCTCAAAATGCAGCTTGTTAAACTAACATATAATAATCAACGGCTGGGCTGCCTACTGAATACTGATAGTTAATTGTCTCTAATCGGCTACAGGCAGAAGGGTGGTCCATGTCACTTTGTTCACCCAAGGGAAGAAAAACCATTAACGTCATCAGCGCGACTGGTCTTGGGCATTGCTAAATGATAAATGAAACATGTATTCATTTATGCTGTCCATTAAGATAATAAATTCTTGAAAGGGACCGCTTGCTCGAATTCTCCTCTGAGGCAGTTTGGGCCAGGATCTTTTATGTGCATAGCCACCTGGAATTGTCTTTACTACAGTGCTGATAGAGTTTCAATTTTTTTAATTAGTTTGCTGTTTGGGTATGTACTTTTGTTTTAGTTTCATAAGACGCGGGGATTCCAGTCACTAGACATCGCTGGAATGTCATCTGCCGGTATTTATGCGCATAAGGTCTTCGATAATGAATTAATACTGTGCGCTTCAAGAGTTCAGTAGGGGTCTTTAATAAATACATGTATGTCCTTCATGAGGCTTGTGTTGCTCCGGCGCACAATGAACGTTATTTCAAAAAAGCCAAGATTCAATTAAAAAACAACAAACAAACAAACACCCCAACAACCCAACAAAGAAAGAAAGAAAGAAAGAAAGAAAGAAACAAACAAACAAACAAACAAACAAACAAACAAGCAAACAACTAGAAGTTTGATGGTTGTTAACACAACCGCAGGCTGTTTCGGCATTTTGTCGGCATTAAACTATAAAAATATAAGAAGGAATTAAAAATATTCACATTTCACGAATGTTACATGATTCAATCAGACTGACAAGAGTACCGAAGACTGGCTCTTCAAAAACGTGTACAGAACCTGTAGTGGACAATTAAATATTCAAAAATCCACAGGAAATTAGTTGATGACCTCATGATGACGCCGTCAATTACAATAATTTTGTATCATGGGCTTTGTTGGCTATCACCTTGATAACGATCAAACTTCGCAAAATTGTGGTCACACAGTTACGTGTACAAAGTGATTGGACTAAAAATACCTATGCAGAGAAGCTGCTTCTTCAAGATGGTGTCACGTGATTTGCATTGGAACTGAACAAAAAGTTTGGAAATACTACTTGATGTTTAGACTTTTTGGTATATTTCAAATTAAATAACACAGTGTAAAATACACGATTTCTCTTTCTTTCTCATGGTAATATTGAGCCGAAGTTGACGACAACTCATGAGTCTTCAGTAGTAAAACGTGTACAAAACCTATCGGAAAACACGGCAGATTGAATCTCATGTCACGTGACCCCTGATTGTCATTTTGACAATTTTCCGTGGGAGCCTTTCTTCATAAAAGTGTACTTTTAAGGAAATAAGTCAGATTGACCAGAGTGCCAGAGACAGACTGTTGAAAAGCGTGTAAAAAGCCTATGAGGGAAGAAGGGAAGATTAAATATCCAAAAGTCAATTTAAAAATAGGTGATGGTGTCATCATGACGTCATAAATTTAGCATTTTTTTATCAGCGTCTTTATTGGCTGTAACTTCCATAATTATCAAATATCTCAAAATTTGCCAAATGGTGGCTTGAAAACTTGGACAAAGTCAATGGGCTAAAAAATCAATACTAAATCACATGATGACGTCATCATGATGTCATTTTATTTACATTAGTTCTCGTATCAGGGTCTTTGTTGGCTATCATTTTGATAGCGATCAAACACCGCAAAGATTCCAAAATAGTGGCTTGAAAATGCGTACAAAGTCACTGGGCTGAAGCACGTATGTAGAGAAATTGCTCATTTCAGTTGATGTCACGTGATTTGCGTTTAATGGTATATTAATTGGTAGTCGAACAAATACAAAAAACAAGATTTTTCTTTTGTTCTCATAGTAAACCTCAGCCAAAGTTCATGACTACTCTCATTAAGATCGATAATATTGCTTAGTAGAAAAACGTGTACAAAACCTGCGGGAAAACACTGCAGCTTTAATCTCATGTCACGTGACCCCTGATGAAGTAATTTTGATAATTCTTTCCTGGGAGCCTCTGTTCATGATGTACTTCAAGTGTACATTGAAGAAAATAAGTCACATTGACAAAAGTGCCAAAGACAGGCTGTTGAAAAACGTGTACAAAACCTATGGGGGAAGATTAAATATCTAAAAGACAATTTAAAAATGGGTGATGACGTCATCATGACGTCATAACTATAGCAGAATTTTTTATTTAGGGTTTCTGTTGTCTGTAACTTTGATGAGGACCAAACATCTCAAAATTACCCAAATGAGGGCTTGAACACGTGTACAAAGTCAACGGGTTGCAATCAATATTGAAAAATCAATACTAGATCATTTATTTATTGTAATTCTTCTATAAGGGTCTTTGTTGGTTGTCACCTTGATAGCGATCAAACATCGCAAAGGTTTCAAAATAGTGGTTTGAAAACGTGTGCAATGTCAACAGGAAAATTAAAAAAGAAATCACGTGATGACGTCATCATCACATCAGGTCATTATTTGTCCGAAGCCTTCCCCTTTCAAGATAAATGCAAGTTTTGAACACAGTCGGACAAGTACTTTACAAGATACATTGCTCGAGAGAGTGCACCTTTTTTGTCACGTGACTGGCTACATGATGACATTATTATCATATGGTGTCATTTTTCTCTGCTGCACTTCCTTTCAGTTGCCCCTTTAATGAAGACTGGCTGTGGAACAAAACACATGTTTAAAACCTATTGGGAGTATAAAAATTCAAAAATCAATTTAAAAAAAAAGAAGGTGACGTTATTATGACGTCATAAAATTGTTGTTTTGCAGAGTTTTTTGTTGGCTGTAATTCTGATGACAATTGAAAATCGGTAAATTACTAAAATGATGCCCTCAAAACGTACAAATCAATGGTCTAAAAACACATGCAGAAAAACTGCCCCTTCAAACTTTTGTCACGTGATTTGTTCTTCCGGATTTAGGGGACCTCTGGGGAAAGTGGAAAAACCCACAGACCAGAGACAGTCGTCGTCGGTCTGCGAGTCCTCCCACTGCGTCGAATCTGTGTTGGTGTTATCAACCATAGAACCCGGGGTGTAAGGGTTAGGGCATGTAGGGCTTAGGAAGCTGTGGGAGACAGGTGAAGGTGATTTGAGAAGAATGAGACGGGGAGTGTCGCCGGGTGAAAGTTTGGAAGATGAGGTTTTTTGTGTTTAGTCACTTCTGAAAAAAGACAAGAAGGGGCAGGTGGGGAGCCCCAGATGTACTAGTTTTGTTTGTCCGAAGCCCCCTCGAAGGCAACCGCAGCCGAGGCGCCCGATGAAGACTCACCCGGGGCAGCAGTGGCCGATCCGTCGCCCCTAGCAGACGCCGGTGGCAAATCGGTGCAGGCCCGCAGAACGTCCTGAGGTAGTCCCACCGGCAGCCCCAGGAGGCCCTGCGGACGCCGAGCAAGGGCCCCCGCCGTCCGCTCCAACAGACGCCGTTGCAGACGCGGGAACCCCACGCACGGCACGCGCGGCACCCGCGGAGGCCATTGCCTCCCGCGGACGGGGCCGGAGATGAGGAATGTTTAGAGTTTTTTGAGGGGTGTCTAGGGTCAGATTTGCTATGTACAAAAACTTGGGGGGGTGAGAGGGTTGTCAGTGGGAATACCACAAATTACAACTTACTCCAGAGCTCGAATGACACGCGTCTAAGCTGAAGAAGAAGAAGAGAAGATGGAAAAGGAAGGGAAAAATAAACAAAAAGATCGCCTTTTTCGCAAAATGCTAAAAAGCAAAAAAAAAAAATAATAATAATACAAAAA